ATGCACGCACACACACACACACACACACACATGCACGCACACACACTCACTCACACATGCATGCACGCGCACACACACACACACAACACACACAAACATTCACACACACCCTCATCCATATACTCTTACCCTCACCCACACACACGACCACGCATCACACACAAACACCAAGAGCTTTACAGCATTTACAACACAATTAGGGCAACAAGTGGGGGGTCATTTAAGTGCTGAAAATTAGCGAAGCTACAAAAGAACAACAAACGAAACAACAACAACAACAAAAAAAGGAGAGACAAGGACGACAGATGTTTTAGTAGAGGTTTTACGGCGCTCGCAACTGCATAAGGTCATATGAGCGCCAGAAGATTAGAGGGGTTACAAGAGAGTAACAAACATTTTAAAAAAGGAGGAGAGACAAGGACGATAGATGTTTGGTAGCAAAGAAGGAGCCAACCACCCCAGAGGAGCACCCGCCAACCACCCACTCACCATGACTACGGCGATTCCGATGGCGACACCAGCCACAATCACCAGCTTGCTCTCAATCCACTCGTAGAATTGGCTCTGGCAGGGCTGAAACCGACAAACATGATAGGGTTACAGTTGAGTTTCTGTTCAGGTCACACAACTGCCGAAGATTAGAAGTGTTACCAGAGAGTAACAAACACACAAAAGAAGGAGGGGAGAGATAGAGAAGATAAATATTTTATAGGGAAGAAGGAGCAAACCACACCAGAGCACCCGCCAACCACCCACTCAGTTGAGAATCAGTCAGAGTTTTACGGCACTTGCAACACAATTAGGTCCTAGAAGTGCCGAAGATTATCGCTATTTTACAAGACAGTCATAACAATAAACACAAAAAGGAGGAGAGAAAAGGACAATAGATATTTGATAGGATAGGGGTTTTTTAGTTTTAGTGAGAGTTTTACGGCACTTGCAACACAATTAGGTCATAATACAAGTGCTGAAGATTAGATTATGTGTTACAAGAGAGTAGCATACATAAGAAAGGAGGACAGATAAGGAAAATAGATGTTTGATAGGAAAGAAACAGCAAACCACATCAGAGCTCCCGCCAACCACCCACTCTGAAAATTTTCTCGCTAATTTTACCTCTTAAACCAGGCGACCCTGACCTCCTTCAATCGCAAATATTTTGACTTCTACTGAACACAGATGGACATTTTTTTCACCAAAACATGAACAGGCTTTAAGATGATACCAATAACTCCATTTACCCACAAATTGACGAGCGCCTGATTGCACACCACGAGCGCCCGATTGCACACCACGTTGTGACACAAATAGATCATGTAAGTGCAGAAGATTAGGAGGTTTGACTAAAGAGTCAACTACAAAGAAAAGAAATCTTTTAACTTTTTAATTTTAATGACACTTGCAACACAAAAAGATCTCAAGTAAGTGCGGAAGATTAGGAGGTTTTACTAAAAGGTCAACTATCAACTACAAAGAAAAATCTTTTGACTTTTTAATTTTAGTACAAGTCTTCACAGCACTTGCAACACAAATAGGTCACACAAGTGCCGAGGATTAGAGGTGTTACCGGAGAGATACAAAGAAAAGAAGGAGGAGGAGAGATAAAGTGGAAAGATTCTAAGATATTTGATCAGAAAGAAGGAGCAAATCAGGCCGGATCACACTCCAACCACCCAGTCTAGAGGCTAACAAGTTTCTAGTAGGGGATAACAATTTACTCGTAACTAGTAAGCCCTGAGATAAAAGTAACTTTATAATATACAGAATACAGTTTTCAAAAATGAAAAAAAAAAAAATTTTATTTAAAAAATACATATATATATATAAATGTGTATATTATACATGAAACACTTGCCAAAACTGAAAGTAAAATATCATCATGCTCATTTTATCCTCTCAATCGTACACTTTACACAGATCAGCCAAATACATACATCCCCCATTGATTTTGCATGCACCATTATTGATCAATATAATAGATTATACCAAATGGAAACATATTGATCAATATACTATATTATACCAAAAGGAAACATATTCATGATTGGGGATGTATTTTGTTACACACACACAAGAAAAATTGCTTTAATTTTTTTTTCAATTTTTAAATAAAATAAAATAAATACATAAACAAATGAATGAATGAATGAACCAATCAATCAATCAATCAATCAATCAATCAATCAACAAACAAAATAAACAAATAAATAATTAAATAAATAAACAAACAAAAAAATTAATAAATAAAAGCCCGAAGAATGAAAATAAGGGATAGTCTACCTCTCATTAAAAATGAAAATCAAAGTCGGTGTAGAGACAAAGTCTAGAAGTTTTAGTTTCGTTTTAGTGAAAGCTTCACGGCACTTGCAACACAAATAGACCATAAATTCTAAGTGCCAAAGATCAGAGGTGTTACTAGAAGAGAGTAACAACTTAAAACAAAGAAAAGATGAAGGGAGGGAAAAGGCAAGAGGTATTGACTGGAAAGAAAGGGCAAACCAAAGCGCCGACAAACACCCATAAACTTGGGTCTTTTAGTTTCAGAAAGAGTTTGACGGCACTTGCAACACAGAAAGGTCGTATATGTGCCGAAGATTAGATGTGTTACAAGCGAGTAACAAACACAAAAAAAGAAGGAAGAGAGATCAGGACGGCAGATGTTTGATTGGAAAGAAGGAGCAAACCACACCAAAGCGCCCGCCAATCACCCATAAAGTTGGCCAAGAAAAGGTCTAGAAGTCATAGAGGTATACGAATACGTCGTTCAGTCGCATGCGAACAGTGTGGTCCTCAGCGACTCCCAAGTGAGACACGCCGTATCAGGCTGGCCAGCTGTTTTTAGTTTTAGTAGAGGTTTTACGGCGCTCGCAACTGCATAAGGTCATATGAGCGCCAAAGGGTGGATGTCAACAGAGAAGTCCTTACAGGGAATCAGACTTACTCTGCTCACCTCTCTAGCTTCAACAGCACAAAGTCTGCTTCGACTATCAAGGTACCCCAGAAATAGCGGGTCACTAGAGAGAGACAAACATACAAAAGAAGTAGAGGAAAAATGATGATAGTAAGGATTAGAAAAGAAAAAGCAGCCGTTCTCTTTTGTAGATCAGGCACAGTTATGAGCGTGACATTGTTGAATCAGCTCAAATACAATTCTACTGTGCAGAAGAACGAGAAATGTCCCCCTTTGGGAATGGCCTAAAGACACTTCAGTCAGTGGCACCGACACAGGGGGGGGGGGCCAAACAGTCTTCTTCTCAGCTACTCCCAGGAGAGACACGCTGTGTCAGGCTGGCCAGCTGTTGCCACACCCAACCGCAGGCACACAAAATTAAACCATGAGAAGAACATTTATGGAACAGCAGGAGGGGGATGATACAGAGGGGAACAGGTAGCAAGGGAGACAATGAGAGAGGGCATGCTCAATAAGAGAAAAAAAAACCCAAAAATATTGAAATGGTGAAGAAGGCGAGAGAAAAAGAAGTCTCTCTCTCTCTCTCTCTCTCTCAGAACCAAGCCTGTGCCCTCAACAAAACGCAGCAAAAAAGTAAAATAGCATGCGAACGAAACGTTTTAGAAAAACAATAAACAGCACGAGAAAGAGAGAGACAAAAAAAACCCAAAGACATCAGACATCAAGTGGACGTCAAAACGAGAGATAATCGAGAGGGGAACACATTGAGAGACTACAAGTAAGACGGTTTGGACACGTTACGAGAATGGACCAATGGGGCGACATAACCCAGCCTCAAAGGCCTACGACATGCGATTCGATGGCTTCGAGGCAAAAAGAAGACAGAGGAAAAAGATGAGATGGACGGAGTCCACGAGACCTTTCAAGTAAGGACTGTTACGATCCAAACAGCAACACACCTGGCCCAGGTCCAAAAACTGGATCTCTCCTCAAAACCTTGCGGTATAACAGGACAGAAAAAGTAAACGTGAGTAACGTGGGGTTCATCCGGATAGCGATAGGTGATATGTTTATCCCTATCCGTACGCCCTGGGGTCACTTTGTACCCCCGGGGTTGTATTCTTCACATTTTAGAATACTTCTAGTACGAAGATCTCTTTGAAACTTTCAGTATTCCTCAAAAACTCATTTTGACAGACTGCTGTGCAGAGCGTACGAATCGGATTAACAAGAAAATTTCCTCTTTGGAAAGTGGTGGCACAGAATTCCCCACGCCGTATGGACACGATAGTAAAACACGACGTACAAATAGGGTTAAAGACCCTCTTGGAAAATACATCTAGGTGGGTCCTATGAAAATGTAAGTCTCTTAAATATTTGTTTTAGTGGGGTTTTCAACGCTCGCAACTGCATAAAATCATATGAGCTCCAACGGGTGGATGACAACAGAGAAGTCCAAACGGGGAATCAGGCTTACTCTGCTCATCTCTCTAGCCTCAACAGCACAAAGTCTGCTTCGACTATCAAGGCACCTCGGAAATAGCAGTTCTCAAGACAGTGACAAACATACAAAAGAAGTAGAGGAAAAATGACGACAGTAAGGACGAGGAAAGAAAAAGCAGCAAAAGTAAAAGTAAGCTGAGGTTCATCCGGGTAGCGACAGGTGATATGTTCAAAGCCCCACTTGGGAATACATCTAGGTGGGTCCTACGAAAATGTTAGCCTCTTAATTCTTTAAACCCGAAGTTTTTTCCACCGTTTCCCAGAGCTTTTTCTACAGTCACCTAAACCTGGTGCATTATGTCTCATTACAACCACCCCAAAAGTTTGCCTCCAACTTCTAAATGGCGAAAACAAAAGCTTCGTCATTACTAAAAACTTGGTTCAGAAATAGTTGAGAAACACAAGCAAAAACTAGCACTGAATGAAACAAAACAGTTGTCACTCGTACTGGACGCTCCCAGCATCCAAAGGGGAACAGGGGTATTACCGCCGGACGCTCCCAGCATCCAAAGGGGAACAAGGTATTACCGCCGGACGCTCCCACAGTCCAAAGGGGAACAGGGGTATTACCGTCGGACGCTCCCAGCATCCAAAGGGGAACAAGGTATTACCGCCGGACGCTCCCACAGTCCAAAGGGGTTTGACTCTTTATCTCCAAGGGGGGTAAACCCGCTACACCGAGGCCCTTTTTCGGTGCTAAATATAAAAATGACAAAAACGTCATTAAAAGGGTCATTAAATCGAAACTAGCAAACCTATTTCAATAGTTCTTCATCTAATGAATGAACTTCCAGTATCAGAGACCTGTTTTCGGCAATAGCCGAAAAGCAATTTGATGTCGAAGTCATCGTAAACGATTGTGCCCGAGCCGCTGTCAACAGTGGTTCTGACCGTGAGCCGCTGTGAGCGGCTTGATGGAGATAGAATTTAAAAGTTAAAGGAGGAAAAAGTGGGTGCTGACTGTGAACAGAAAGACAAGCCCTGCTCTACACAGCCCCACAACAGTGCATTGTTTCTCTTCACAGCCCCACAACAGTGCATTGTTTCTCTTCACAGCCCCACAACAGTGCATTGTTTTTCTTCACAGCCCCACAACAGTGCATTGTTTCTCTTCACAGCCCCACAACAGTGCATTGTTTCTCTTCACAGCCCCACAGCAGTGCATTGTTTCTCTTCCCACTCACACAACAGTGCATTGTTTTGCTTAGGGTGAAGTGCCCCACACAGTGACCACAAGTGCTCTCAGCAAAGAGGAGGGTGTGTTCAAATTAGACAACTGCACGTCACTTAACCCTATCTGTATGCCATGGGGTTATTTTGTACCCCCCGGGGTTATATTCTTCACATTTTAGAATACTTCTAGTACGAAGACCTCTTCGAAACTTTCAGTATTTCTCAAAAAATCATTTTGACAGACTGCCATGTAAAGTGTGCGGATCGGATTAATTAGTAAATTTCCTCTTTGGAAAGTGGTGGCACAGAGTTCCCCACGTGGTATGGATACGATAGTAAAACGCGACGTACGGATAGGGTTAAGTGGTGGCACAGAGTTCCCCACGTTGTATGGATACGATAGTAAAACACGACATACGGATAGGGTTAAGTGGTGGCACAGAGTTCCCCACGTCGTATGGATACGATAGTAAAACAAGACGTACGGATAGGGTTAAGTGGTGGCACAGAGTTCCCCACGTTGTATGGATACGATAGTAAAACACGACATACGGATAGGGTTAAGTGGTGGCACAGAGTTCCCCACGTTGTATGGATACGATAGTAAAACACGACGTACGGAGAGGGTTAATGACATTGTAGAATGTCCGGGTCCCATTGGTTTTTCCTCTTCCTTATACGACGGGAGTGTTGTGAAATGACACAGACTGTGGGGGTCTCAACTGTTTTCCTTCCTTATATTATCCTAGAAGTGTAGTAACATACACGAGGAGTTTCAACTGTTTTCCTTCCTTATACGAAGGGAACGTAGTCAAGTGACGTGGACTTTAGAGCCTCAACTGTTTTCCTTCCTTATACGAAGGGAACGTAGTCAAGTGACGTGGACTTTAGAGCCTCAACTGTTTTCCTTCCTTATACGAAGGGAGCGTAGTCAAGTGACACAGACTTGAGAGTCCTCATTGTTTCTCTTCCTTATATGCTGGGAGCGTACTGACATAGGACTATTCGATTCTTAATTGTTTGTCTTCCTAAACACTTTGCCATCATATTTTGGGAAAGGGAAAATTCAAGGAAACTAGGTGGTAATCATAGCTAATCAGCGAGATGAGACTGCAAAGTGTTAAACACAGAAAGGGAGGGGGGGGGGGGGGGGGGGTTGAGAGCTTAGTCACACAGACTGTTGGGGTCTGATAGTTTTTCTTCCTGATATTCTGGGAGCCGAACCGAAAACAAATTTGTTTAAAATCAGAAATCAGGGGTGTTAAGATCGTAATTTCGTAAAATTAAAAAAAACCATTGTTGACACCGATTCCCCCAATGTCATAATGAGCGGACAGTCCTCACACCTGTTCATTTCACCCTTTGTCTACACACCTGTTCATTTCACCCTTTGTCTACACAACTGTACATTTCACCCTTTCTCTACATAGCCAAAGAGCTGCACACCTTGCTTCTGTAAACACGCTACACAGCTAAACATTCCACTTGGCCCTACACACTACACAGCTACATGGCTGCTTTCTTTTCCTTTGAAATGTTAGACGTTTATACACCCACACTGACACACATTAGGCCATTCAGGAGGCGAGCTCCTACCCTGCCTGTCAGGGTCAACCCGGACAGAGAGGGCTATGACGTCCTAGCAGAAAGACTACAATTTGCCAAACAGACAGGAAAAATTTTCCCGACTTCGCCGATCTCGGCCAGCCGGAAAACTGGCGACCCTGCAGAGACTGTGGGCACGCATGCCCGGGTTCCCCAGAGCGGTACACGGATTCCCCACAACAGAGGTGCGGTACACAGGTCACACAGACGCGTGGACACACCCGGGTTCAAACCCAGACCAGAGGTGCGGTACATGGGTCACACAGATGCGTGGACACACCCGGGTTCAAACCCAGACCAGAGGTGCGGTACATGAGTCACACAGACGCGGACATTCCCGGATTCCCCAGACCAGAGCGGTACACGGGTCACACAAACAGTGGACACGCCCGGATTCCCCAGACTAGAGCGGTACACGGGTCACACAGACCAGTGCTGTGCACGGGTCACACATTTACCTTCAAGACGTCGTCCTGGTGGCAGGTCTCAGGGGGGTCTTCGGGGAGGTAGTCGACCCCACCGTCCCTCCAGCCGCAGCACTGGAACTGAAAGCGGAAGAGAGCAACAAGTCCACTATTTAGTACGCGACAACTGCACCGCGATAAGCAAGCGGTGGTTAGTTTACCTTGCGATAATTATCGGGGTCGCAGGTACCGGGGATATCCTCGACCACCTTGTAGTCCTCGTTGCCCAGCGTCGCTCCGCAGCAGCCGAACTGAAAGCAAAGCAATGGCCACAAGCTAGAAGCTGGGTTGTTGGGAGTGGTGGGGTTGTGGCTCACAGGGAAATGGAGAGGAGGGGGGGGGGGGTTAGATTTAAGAGGGGGTGGGGGTGGATTGGATTTTAAGGGGGTGGGGGTAGATTAAAGGGGAGGTAGGGGGTTGGATTTTAAGAGGGTGGGGGTGGATTTAAAGGGGGGGGGAGGGGTAATGGGATGGGACGGGAGGGAGGGAGGGAAATAAGACAATCTTCTTTTTAATGTAGGCGTTTTTCCTCCAGAGTCAGAATGGTGTGACCTGCCTCTAAATACAACAGTCTTTCACTTCACAACCAGGGTTTCCCAAAGCTTAATGGAAAAAAACCAAAAAAAACATTTTGAGGAACGCCACCTTTACAAAAAAGACACTTACTCCATATCAGTTTATCAATTTTCTTACAGGAAAAACAATTGTTATTCTCAGCATATTTTCTGTTTAACGACATATCATTCTACTAACCGTCTCTATGGTAACAAGAAAAACAGTTATTAATCTAAGCATATTTTCTGTTTAACGCAATACCAATCTATTAACTGTCTCTTTGATAACTGGAAAAAGTTTTGTTATTCTAAGCATTTGCTTTCTGTTAAACGAATTTCCTGTTTATTAACTCTCTCTTTGGTCCCAAGAAAAACAGTTATAATTCTAAGCATTTACCTTCTGTTTAACTCCATACTAGTTTTGAGTCTATCAACTATCTTTTAGTTTGTAAATTAACCTTAAGCAACTCAGTAATTTTTCAGGTCTTTTCGCGGACAACCCAAGTGGCATCCTTGACTACTACTGACTGAAGATGTAACAGGTTAGGGAGAAGGAAAAAAAAATCCCAGCATTTTACCACTTAACCCAGCAGCTTTCGAGTGGTTCTTCGTATTAATGTAGTGAACAAAACAAAACAATCAGAGCCTACACCAAAACAAGCGACAACTACACGGACACGTACTGGCTCACTTCGTTCTGTCAGCGACAGCCTGGGAAGAAAGTGCCTCTTAGTGGACAGAAAAAAAAAAAAGGTAGCTCACGGAAGAAACAAACAACAAACGAGCAGCGGCAGTATCCATCAAACTATCTTTAAAATTAAAAAGGAAAAAATTACAGAAATGAGAGAGGGAAAAAAAATATATATATAGACTACTACGATTTTTCTTTCCGCGTAAAAGAAGAACAGCAGTTGAGTTATAATATTACAGAGAAAGCTAGTGGGGCTAGAGAAGTCGTTTTTGTGCCACGTTGGAGCACTGAAAGAAAACTCTCACACTTCAATTTATAGCCACACACTCAAAAAAAAAAACTACTTAAAAAAATATTTAAAATACAAAGCTTAAAAAAAAAAAAAAAAAAAGCTTTTCAATATAATTGTATTTTTCCAGTCCCAGTAGTTTATGTATGAATATAATGGATATATGTATATATATATACGTGTCTTGGTAGCGCGATATATTTTGAGCAACACATTTTGGGGGTGGTCATTACGAAATTCACACTCTTATCAGCAAGTGAAAGAATTCTGACATCGTCAGCAAACAGTTAAAATGTACAAAGCCCAAAAACTTTCACCATTTTTCAATTGCGGTATCATAACCTGGGCTATTGATTGCATGGGATTAGAAAATATTTAGTCCAAATTCAAATTCTACAAGTTGAAGAAAAACAAACAAACAAAAAACGCCAGAAAGACACATTATGAAGGCACAACTGTTAAAAGAATGAAACATAGTTTTCTCTCTCTCTCTCTCTCCCTGACAATTGTTGCTTTCTGGGCTCAACAGATTCAGCGCCGCAGGGCTGCTCAGAGTGGCTGTTATCTATTGCTCAGTTTTCTTAGCATCACTTTCCTCTCGTCTTTTTCCCTCACTACTAACATTTTAACTCTATTCTGTCCCCATGGTTTTATGCACCCCACATAATTAAGCAAAATTTGATCTTTTTTTGCATAATTTCAGATTATTTTCCTTTATCATTCTTTGTTAAAATTAACAGAATCGCAATATTTCACATTTTGAGCTCAGTTAGCATAATTTCAGAATTTTTCTTGCATAAATAAAACGACGGGGACAGTCTATTTTCTGGTTTCATTGCAGAGTATTTTGTATTCTGAACGTTTCTAAATGCCACACGCAGGGTTTTATCAAATTTAGATATTTTTCTTTATTAACTTTTTGTGAGACCAGCCGTGAGGTCACGAAGCGGTCACAAATTATTTGCATCCAGAGTCAAAATGATCTGCGGGATGAATCAGTTAAACATCTGAACAGATTGCGGCTGACATTTTGTTGTAGACACGCCCTCCACTGACATTAATTGTTTGTTTCGTTGTAGATCTGAAATGGTACGGGTTGAACACTATTATCAACACTATTAGGTTATTTAAGGGGCCGGACCTCCTAGTTTAACGTCTGTCTCCGACAGGACCGAGCCAAGTGGGAAGTTCCTTTCCCAAGGACACAACGTCGGACCGAGCTGAGGCTCAAACCCCCGAACCCGCAATCTCACGAATACCAGTCTGGTAGCCTAACCACTAGACCACCGACACCACAACCTCACGATTACGAGTCTGGCAGCCTAACCACTAGACCACCGACGCCGCTGTAGATCTGGACCTCAGTATATGGTCAACAGACACAATAGATAACACCATTCATCTGAGAGAGAGAAACCGCTTTCTTCAAGCAGATAATTTTGTGAGTAAAAAAAAATTGGAAACTGAATAAGCGTGGTTGTTCTTCAAGTAGAAAATTTCGCCAGAAAAATATTTCAAAACTGAAGAAACGTGGTTGTTCCGCAATGGTGAGAATAAATTTGTAAAGCAAAAATCCCAGCACACTCATTTATAACAGCAGCAGTAAGATAGGGTCGCTCAGGCTTGCCAACTTTTGAAAAAACCCAATCAGGAGACGCCTACATAAAAACATTGTACTACGTAAGAAATTCCGGACTGTCAAAGAAATTCCTGACAGTTGGCAATTTAAAGTCTGGGACAGCTGGCAAGCCTGGGATCGCTTTTACAAAGTGCAATTATGATAAAAATGTACAAATAGATAAAACAAAGTGTCTTCTGGTACTTTAGGTACATTACGCTTACTTCTGGCAGCCATACATGAAGCACAAGGCATCATTTGCCCCAAGTTGTCAATACCCTGTTTGTTTTTTTGTTTTAGTAGAGGTTTTACGGCGCTCGCAACTGCAGAAGGTCATATGAGCGCCATGTCTACACCCGTAAATCTTCCCAGACTACAGCTCTGTCAGAAACAAACCATTCATTAACAGTATAACTGTTTATCCATATATCTATATCCTTTACCCTTGATATAACTCACAAGTTATTTGTTTGTCTTTTTCAAGCCACTTTCAACATAGTTTAGGTATGTTCAGAGTATGTCACTATCCTTATAACTTCTGTGTTTGATGCAGTTGATTCCACACCTCCCTCTAAGCTTGATATTTCATTTACCGTCAGCACGTGCAGCCATTATACGTACGTATGTATATAATGATATCTAAGAGCAAGCAACAAGCCACTACCGTCAGCTCACAACCTGGCTGTCTATTTCTCTCTTCTACGTGTTGGAAAACAAACCTGCCAGACGTGCAACATCAACGCAGACGTGCGCGTGTACCTTCTGTAACTATTCAGGAGAGAGAGAGAGAGAGAGAGAGAGAGAGAGAGAGAGAGAGAGGGGGAAAAAAGGAAAAAAGAAAGAGAAAGAGAAAGTGAGAAAGATCATTATAATATCCTCATTATTAAGCCAAGTATATATCCCATTAGATTATAAAGCAGAAATTCCTCGTAAATTGGAAACAATAAAGGCTGCAGAAGAATCACTTTGCTGCTGGACCAACGGTGGCCATCTAAGACAATCAATTTTAGTAGAAAAAGTCAAGTGGCGATGAGCACACAGGAAAAAAAGACGGTTGAAGGGGAAGTCAAGAAGTATGGCTTTCCTCCACCTAACTTGTGATGAGAAGCAAACTTTAGAAAAAAAGGTAACAGATCAAACAAACAGCCAAGTAGGAACTCTGAAGGCACAGAGGCGTTAAGGATGGTTACTTGATTTTTCTAATTCCATCTCTCAGTTTTCTTGGTTTTAGTGAAAGTTTTACAGCACTTGCAAACACAAATAGGTTATTTATTATAATAAGTGCCGGAGATTAGAGGTGTTACTTAATTAAAGAGAAACGATCAAAGGAAAGAGGAAGGAGCGATAGGGACGATAGATAGATGTTTGATAAGACAAGAGGAACAAATCGCAGACCAGAGCACCTGCCAACCACCCACAATCCAATCCATCTCTCAAACTCGTTCGAAAAGATCAAATCAGAGCACCTGCCAACCACCCACAATCCCATCTCTCAAACTTGCCGAACTTATGACCATGCAAAACAAGACTCAATCGCCGTGTGGCAATGCCATTCTGTAAGTGGGTCCTCAAAGTCCACACAGTATTTTGTGTTAATTACTTAATACTGAGTTTTGTAAGAAGCAACTTTTGTAGATGTAAAACGTACCAAACTAAAAAAAATTAACGCACACCCTTTAAAGGATGAAAATAAAAATATAATTATCACTAGTAACTTTCAGTTGAACTTCCGGTGAAAGCATTCGTAATCTTATTTCAACTAGCTTTGAGACTTTTACTTTTTCAATTCCCATTCATCCACTAACATGCAAACATTTCTTGCTCATGCCATGCGACCGACCAAAAAAAAAAGAAAGAAAAAGAATCTAGATTCGAGGATAATGCACAGCAGTAACAATAATTATATGTGTCCCCACGTGGTGGAATCAGGCGCTCGTCAATTTTTGGGCATGTGGAGTTATTGGTATCATCTTAAAGTTTGTTCATTTGTCTTGCTTTCGATGAAAAAACTATCCATTTACCTTGAATACAAGTCGAGATATTTACGATTAAAGGAGGAGGGGGTCGCCTGGTCTCAGAGGTAAAATTAGCGGGAAAAT